GCCTGTGAAAACTTTTCTCCCCGTTGATTATGTACATTGTGACGGTTAGCGTGTATGCTTTTTAACTGAAATGTGAGCTCCAGTGCTTGCAAAAGCTATACACAATACAAGAAGCGAACGTAAATACCAGTTTATTCTTCGCATGCGTAAGTACTGGAAAACCTATTCCTTCCTCATTTTCTTAGCTAAATCATATGATTTTCGAAAAGAAAACGTTTTAGAACAGTTTACCTGTTGCACAAAGTCCAAATTTAGTGCAATACAGGTGACCATTGCTGTTCAAATAAATTATACAATTCTCCGTCAAAATATTCACATTGCATGATGAAAGATATTGAACTGAATTTCTCATTTATTGTCGTTATGCATGAATTCATTTATGTTTCAATGTTCAGCACTGCCCTCAATATGTGTTTTAGGGACTTTTAAATAGTGTCACCCGTGTCCAGAAGTTCACTTTTTCAGATTGTTTTTAATGCTCTCCTGAAACATCGGTAAAAGGCCTCTGTCGGTAGATTAGAGTGGTTCTGCGCGTACCAAACTGCTGGATCAGTGGTCATGCGAAATTTGTTGAACCAAACACGGCAAAACACCTGAAAAATGTTTGCGTGTGTAAGTTCAATTTTCCACTTGAGTAGTTCACACGTTTTTGTATAAGAATTCATGTTCTTTTTGTTTGTTTAACCCTGCAAATAGTTTGGAGTCACAAAAACCGACCAAGGAAACCTTTTGTGATCAAATACTAAAGTGTCATTTCATTACCCTGATTCGACGGGGGAAGGTAACAATGCTACCTCATGTGAAGACGTAAGTAACCATTTGCGACTAGCCAAGGCAAAACTTGAGTGAATCGATATTTGCTCTGTCGGTGCCAGATCTCATATTTACCGTGCTAGTTCACATCCTCTAATAAAATTTGCAGAATAACAGCAGTCATTTTCTCATTGTTGCTCCTTCCTAGGCAGAATATTGACGTGGTGATGGTGTATTCCATTGTGTTTGATTTAAATAACTCTCATCGGGAAACAGTCGATCTCTCCTTACCGTGAAGACTGTACCTCTCTTAGAGTCGCCTGATGAAGCTTTACGCTTACGTTGATTCTGACTCGCCTGACACACAATGCACACAATGATTCGTGTCCTCACAAACAGAGGTCAGATATTTTTGTGACTTTCTGAAACATGCGACCGATAATATGGTATGCATGAGTTCATTCATATCTTCTGTTTATGCATCAATGATGGATGCGGTCGTCTGTCAGCTTAGTTTCAGACACCCCCCTGAAATTTGATGAACTACATCAACTCAAATGCTCAGACAAGTTGGCTCCAGATTCACAGTTTTTGTGCACTTCTCAGTGGAAAGCGCTCACGCACGCATGAGACAGAGAAATAGGGTCACCTAATGTGAGGAAAAGTACAAACGTACGCAGGGAGACTAAGGGTTATCATTTGCACACAATTGAGGCAGTCTGAGGTAGCGAAACCAAAATATTATAACAGAAACGAGTTAAACGTATACTGCATACTGGAGAAGAAAAAAGGGAATTTTGTTTTACAAAATACATACAGTCTGAAAATAATGACACTTCCAAGGCCATTCGTGTATCTTCAGACTTCGAAGGCTTCCGTTAACTATAGTGGTTTGGCCAAAGTTTTATGGTTGTAAATAAAAGATGAATGTCGTTTGAACAAACAGGAGGTGAGCGGGATGCATGAGAACGGTTAGCAGAACGGAGACATTTCTAAACAAGTTAGCTGTCGCATTTCAGTAAACAGAGTACGATGCGATCTCCATATGTCATCCATTCACAGGCAGGCTGGTGCATTGTGTAGGTGAAAAGCTTCTGCACTGTTAAGTTGTGTGTGTGAAGAAGCGGAGACTGATAACCTTTTTATCGATAATCCGCTCGATTCATAATCGAATAGAAAATGCTCGCTAGATGCGGAATAACACTTGCCACTCCCGCTGAGTTTTGCTAACTGTAACCGGGACGTAGGTCAGTCATTCAACCGTTCTGCTATCTGTAAAACAATCTCCTGCTAACTGTCACAACGAGCTATGTCATTGCTCCATTGCCGAACGGATTCTGAATGTAGAAGTGTGAGTAATCAGGGTACCAGATCCCGAGGACTAGGCTTATTTTTGGGTGAAGAGTGCACGGGAACACAGTTGCTGAACGTGGACTTGGAAATGAAATAGATGAACGCGTCATCAATCAACGCAGCTAAGAAAAGTTTGTTCAGATGATCCTCCTCCGACCCATTCGGTCGGGAGAATTTCAGCTTTCGCCAAGTTGCACCAGAAAACAAGTCATGGTTGTGCAAAGCGAAACTTTGTGCTGTTGCCGACATTGTAAAGAGGATTGCTGACACAAACTGAATCCTCATTACAAGCTGCGTGCCACGCATTTTAGCAGTGATGTAACCGTTCCAATGACAAACGAAGATGATGATAACAGGCGGCTGTATTACCTCAAAATAGGACAATGGATTCAAGTAATTCTGATCATATTAGGGTACCGTAGTGGATTTTATTTCATTCCCATCGACTGTTTGTGTGATATTTACGAGTAAGTGAATGAATCGAGAGGAAACAACTGTTGGTCATTAAATGGACGTTCCCACGAACATGTTCTACACATTACCGAGGTTGAAGCTTTGGTACCGGAAATCAGTACGGTTACAGTATATATAATCATTACCAAATATTTTTCGATCATTAAAATCGGTGAAACTGTTTGCCGTTTGGTAACTTTAAGCTTCAGCAGGTGTTGGATTCGTATAGTTTTCAACTGTGGTAGATTGTGAACCCTCAAACCTGGGTTATGGATAAGGCAATTTCACGGATCATTCAGGAGGGCGACGGTAAACCATCAGGATTAACCTTTTTTGCTCATTTTTTTAATATGACATGGCTATTAAGAGGGGAAAGTCTTCTCTGACTCATCAATCACTGCGGCCTAACTAAACTTTATCCGACCGTTGGTAGGTACCTTTCTTGTTCGTAATAAGCACCTGTAATTTTTGCGATTTGATCTTCTTAGTGTTTCGTTCAGTGATGATGATGACGGTGATGACAAAGGTGCAAATAATTAGAAAGAATCTGATGTTGATGGTGGCATCCGCTAACAAATACATGTCGTTTGGGCGTGCTTTATCCTACAAACATCTGACACAAGTGATAGCACAAGTGATTGGGTTAAAAAAAACGATGAAACCGCGTATCATGAGTTTCACTCAAATGACCTTTTATCCAAGGTGAGAATAAACTACCAATAAATTTTGTGCTTAGCGACAACAGAAAACGACTGCGCTGAATAAGTACTAGATCGGAGGATAGCCACAAACTGGATTTTTTCATGGGGTATTTTGATAATGAATCAGCTGTTGAAAAGCAAACATAAACAACAGGTTGTTTCTTTTCAAGTTCCCTTATAAATGATCGGTTGGGGATGAAATCACACAACTTAGACATATAAGTTAATATTCAAGAATCCCGAAGTAATCGAATAAACGGCATTCATTATTGCAAAAGGTTTTCATTATTTATTCTGGAACTGCTTTTACCCTAGACATTTTCAACCTTAGAATTGCCTAAATTCTCAATTTAACAGCCAACTGCTAACTAAGGAGAAAGAGAGTTACCATTATTTACTGTGGGAGCATTTATATGACACGCACGCGAGAGGATCTGGGATTCACATTGTGAATCCAAGGACTTTACATACTGTAGTTAGAAGGCACATGTGGTTTGTGTACTAAATCATGATTAGTTATGTATCCACATGGTGCTATGGAAACTCTCGACAGTCGAATCTGCTGAGTGGTTACACGCATTCATCGGATGATTGTCTTTTTATTGCCTGTATGCTCCACCTCCAATGATTCACACAAATGGAATCATAAATCATTCTGTGTTGCGCTAGAAGTGGGTCAACGAGTGTGTTAAGTGTGCACCACAGTTGGCGATCAAAGTGACCCCCATGCAGTTAGGTGGTGGTTGTCCTGTGATCCACACGGTTTATCCCTTATACGGTCTGATCGTGTTGCCTGATTGGACTGATTGCCGCCGGGCCTAAATCAACTGGTTTTGTGATACTGTGAATTTTCAGATCAAAGCAACCTCTTGGTTAAACGTGAGGATGGGGTTGCGTTGCAGATAATTATACACAACAGCAAAATATAAATGGAATAAGATACTGTAATAATGATGGATGGTTTTATTGAGCATGTATCTCATGGCATCACATGTTTTATCCATAAAATACAGTAATCTTTTAAGATACTTGTTATCCGAAGGGATAAAGAAACAGCTTGTTCTGTTTGATTTGTCAAATTCCTTGAAAAGGAACCACCAACTAGGTTGAATCGTTGGCAATGAGCTTGTTCCATAACAAAAATTAAAAGCTTATTTGTTAATCACATTACCAATTAAATTCACTTAAGTCTAAACTGAATGTGGCCAACGTTGACTGACCGAATGCATACTCGTGAAAATACAACGATCCCTCCGCCAGGCAAATGAAATAAACAGATAGTGTTAAAACGCACAATGAGCAGCAGCAGCAGCAGCTGTCAGATCAGTCCATGGGTTGTCCACCATTGCTGCTTGTATCCTTCATTCATCTGAGTCACCTAGTCCGCAGGTGTGCCTTCATCCTGAGACCAACTAAGCTTTCAGACGTTTATTGAGCACTGATGCCCGCGTGAAACATATGCCCCAATATTACGGTTTGTACAGTCTGGGGGAGGAGTGCCTTAATGACGAATTTTCGGCAAGCAAGTGCTCAGAATCCATTCTGAAAACAGTATTCCTTGGAAAACGGGGACATGATTGAAGAACAAATCAGTAAGATGGCATGTATGCTAGTGGGTGTGTGATCGTTTTACTGTTCAGTCAAACTCTATGTATCAGCTTCACTCGTCGAATAGTTACTGACCGTTTGCACTGCGAGTTGAACTACTCAAAGAAAAGGTAGTCGATTATCAACTGAGCAGAACGTGGAGTAGAGTGAACGTACTATGCGCAAAGCTGTGGTTTTCTTGAGAACGTCTGTGAAAGGCAATACAGAATGCATGGTGAGTGCAATACAATCGAGCGAACAATTATTAGAGATTGCAGAAGTTTCAGGTTCACGTCAATTTTTCACGAAAAGAAGCCACCTGAAAGAGTAACCCAGCACAATCAGCTAATTACCTGTTTCCCTTCTTTCTTCGCTTATTTCCTTATATTGCATACATGTGAGTACAAACCATCTTAGGAAAGAAAGGATTAACCAATCAGGGACTGTCATGTGATGAAATGAAATATATGATTGACTGGAAGAACTGAGGATTGTGCGTGAAGGTGAGACCTGAAGGATGGTCAGTTCAAATCAATATGAAATTAAGAAAGTTAGGCGGTAGTGGGTTGTGAACATATACCACCTTCTGGGCTGATGACCTTAACCGCTTGGTTGTCGCCGCCCTGAGCAAAATTCGAGCTCCATTCGGTTATTGCACTTCGTACTATAGCCGAAGGCCATACCACTGACCATGATAACGCTAGAATAGTTCTGTATATGAACCGGAACTTCAATAATTAGGGTCCACCCCAGAGCGGGGAGAGATTTCGGGCGGATTTCGGACCGCACTATAATGACGTTGATGGATAAACATCCTCACACCTTTTTAGATTAAGTTTGGATTAACCCATTCGATTGATTGCATTCCTTGTTGACCTCAAATGACCCAGTCACCACTGTCATGGAGAGGCGGAAAGAAGGCTCAGCACGCACCCTCGAAATCCACACCAATATACAGATAGACACATGCGCATACATCAACACACTGTTTGACACCAAAAGGCTTAAACCTATTATCCCTGACTGACGGGTTAACTGAAGTAAGCGAAACATCGACTGGTCACCAACTTTTCCAGGAACGTCCTATCATCGAATATCGAACAATTACATTATTAAGTCCCAGGGTGAATCGTTTTTCCTCTCAACTGACTGCGAGCCGGTTCCGCAACCAACGGATTTCAAGTCATTGCATAGATCTCCCTTTTCCATCGGGTC